GAAACTCCACAACATATCCGATTACACTGATTCAGGCTGTCCCAGTTCTCCATGCGATACTGACGCCCGTTCTTCTAAATTTAAAAGGAATCCAGCTCAAGTCTAGAACGATTTGGCAAACCTAGATTGCCTCAATTCTATCCATGAAAGTAAGCATTAATAAATATTTTTGGTTCTTGTCTGCTTCAGATTATATTTTGTAGAGACATATTTTTAACTTATCAATCCAGTGACTGACATCATGAGCATCGATCTACGCAATTCAGCAACCAAGTCAGCGAGCCTGACTACTCGATCCCGTTAGTCGCCTCTAACGACAAGCATAGTCGCCTTTTATGGCAAGCATGGGTTGCTGAAGACCTATTCTACCCGGGATCTTCACGGGTCCATAATCCTATTTATTTCACATCAGATGAATGTGCTTTAATACAGAATACAGAAAGTGTATACATTTGATTCAGATGTATTTCCGAAAAGAAGTTTACCAGCTAACGTATCCCCGATGTATTCAGTGACTCACTTCCTCGTATAAAGTGGTCATTGTTTTTAAGGGTTGATGTCCTCTCATTGCACTTCCTGTTGTGATGCTCAATGGTAAACGACACAGCAGTTAAAGCGTTCCTCGTCACATCGAATACCTTGTTCGATTACTAAATTGGTACGTTGCTTGTGTCTCATGTCGTTACAAGCAACGTAAAAACCTGTTACACCTTACCTCAACAAGAAAGACGGTGTCACTCCCGATTAATCGTCCATATTCCCGTCCGCAAGATCTCCCGCGATTCTGACAGTTTTCTTTTCTTTCTTGTTACGATTATACATTCTTCCTAACGATTCCAACTGTGCATGTTGTCACGTTCTTTGGCAGAAGCGAGAAGACCTGACAATAGACGTCTACAAACCGACTTACCCATTCTGTCAGCACCCAGCTGGTGATCGGTTGATATAGACTCCTATACTTTCTAAATGTCACCATGATATACGCTATGTTTTTTTATGGTAGTGGTGAGGTGAGGTGAGGTGAAATGGGGTTAACGTCGCGTCTAAGATTATTGCACTTATATAGCGACGAGCATGTACGTTTGTGTGTTTGTGTGGCTGCTTGTACTAGGCAGGCCGATTTATAGTGCCAGCTCATTGCGATACTATGCCGCAGTGGAACATGAATACCCCACTCAGACACAGTATACTGACTCCGAGCCGACCAGTCCTTGTTTTAGCCCCTTAGTGCCGAGCGCCAGACAGGGTAACAACAAGTACCATCTTTTAACTTCTTTTGGTATGACGTGGCCGGGGATCGAACCCCATCACAGTCTACAACTGTTATGGCCTCCTTAAATGGAAGATTTGAAATCGGGTGAGTGAGTGAGTTTGATTTTACGCCGCTTTTAGCAATATTCCAGCAATATCACGGCGGGGAACACAAGACATGGGCTTCACACATTGTACTATGTCGTGATTCGAACCCGGGTCTTCGGCGTGACCAGCGGATGATTTAACCACTAGGCTACCCGACCGCCCCCAAGAAGATTTGAAATGAGTATCAATAAAATAAGGGTTACAGACATACTGACTCTCATGATCATGTCCTCATGGCTTTATTGTTATCAAAGTACCTCACTCCTTTCGCGCATTCTGATTAATATGTTTTTCGTATTTACGCACACACCATTGGTCGATAGAGGGACGAGTCATCTGGCAGGTTCCGGAAAGCGGCAAGTGGTGACGGATGGAAACTACTATTAGTTTCCGTTAAACTTAACCCGGGTTAAGGAGCGACAATGAAATGACAGATTGATCTTTGTCCACGAGCCCGGAATCACGAGTACAGCTGGTACTTGATGCTAATGTAAGTTAGAAATGCGGACACCACACGAACATCCCGCTATACACGGAAATCTTGTGACGCTGTGTTATAATTCCACCTATTCGTTAATCGTGCTGGTGTTTTAATTTCACGAAGTGATGCGAACGGGATATGCGATTGCATGAACTACATTTTTAAATGTTAAAGGACCCGTGAAGACCCGGGGTAGAATTGGTTGATGCATGTTATCGATCCCAATTGCATGGATCGATGCTCATGATATTAATCAATGGATTGTCTGGTCCAGACTCGATTATTTACAGACCGCCGTCATATAGCTGGAATATTGCTGAGTGCGGCGTTAAACAACAAACCAAACCAAAAAAATGTCGGCGAGCCCAACCCGTCACTGTGTTCAACACAACGTAACTCTATAGCTAAACGCCTATAGCTAGACTGCTGTATTGTTGGTCATTTTCTATTCGCCTATTCACGGTCTTCAGCAACCCACGCTTGCTGAAGAAAACGACTTTGCTTGTCGTAAGAGGCGAGTAACGGGATCGGGTGGTCAGAGTCGCTGACTTGGTTGATGCATGTCATTGATCCCAACTTCGTGGATCGATGCTCATGATGTCAGTCGTTGGATTGTCTGGTCCAGACTCGATTATTTACAGACCGCCGTCATATAGCTGGAATATTGCTGAGTGCGGCGTTAAACAACAAACACACTTAATGTTAAAGAAGATTTAATTCTGGCTGTTTAATTCGTCTGATTCATTGTAAAAAGTAATATAGTGACCAATTAAATGAAATGTACATCGTAATTCATTCTATTCAGACCCGGAAGCTACCATCTGTTACTCATGGGTCCGGTGTCATCATATACGCAGTGCGCGAGATTCACCAATATCGTGACTTGTATCTCCCATTGTATGCAGCAAACATTCGGCGTATCTCCTCGAATTAAAAGCCATCTCCAGGCGGGACCTTTAATCCCCAGCGTTATCTATAAACGTCAATTAACACCTCCTTACGTCGCCGGATGTTACGTATGTACATGTACGGTCACTGACCTTGCACCACGTTACGATATTCCCCTGTCTACAAAACTTGACAGGGAGACCAGAGAATAGACAGAAGCGGGTTTCCGCATCGGGAACATTGGCCACTCGGCCCCGGTGTGCCTTCTGTCACATTATTATCAACCTGGACCCTTTCGACTCATGGCTGCTGTCGTCTTAAACTTGAGTTTTGTCTTCCGTCATCACCCTGAGCCACAAAAGGTACGCCCTTGGACAATCCCTTGGGCACGCCAGAAACCTATGATTGTGGGTTCGAATCCCGGTTCGCCCCACTTATGTTTCTATGTTTGTCAGCACCATACCCGTGCTCGTTGGTTTCATCGAAGTGGTAAACGTCTTAGACCTGCATCACTTCAGGCTTTCCTCCCACATTAAGCCGACCCGCCGTGATATAACTGGAATCATGTTAAAAGCAGCGTTAAATCCAACTCACTCACTCACTCACTCGCCCTTGGACAACAGTACCAATTTCCGGAGCGTGTCATGATTAGTATTCGTCATTCGAAACCACGTTTTTCCGTCGGAAATTCTCCTAATTCTTTAACAAATGCGTTCTTTGCGCGCGCACACACCCACGGACACGCACACACACGCACGGACACACACATGTCCATGTTTACTGGAAGCGTGTTGTCTTTAGAAATTGTGTGAAAAATAGGTTACAGAATAAAAGTATATCCCGTTGGACAGACATTGAGTACAATGGTAACAACTAGTCCGTTCCCTGTGAAGATCCGGGTTAGAACTGATCTTCGGAAATCCACGGTTGTCCAAAGTGACGATTAGTATTCGGCAACCCATGCTTTGTCGTTAGAGGCGACTGACGGGATCGGGTAGACAGGTTCGCTGACATGGTTGATGCATGTCATCGTATCCAAATTGCGTAGATTGACGCTCATGATATAAATCACTGGATTGTCTGACCCAGACTCGAGTTTTTTACAACCAGCCGTCATATTGCGGAATATTGCTGAGTGCGGCGTTAAACAACAAACAACCAAACAAACTAGGAATGCCAGGCAATTGTTTTGATTAACAGTGTATTACATTGCTACATTGCTAACTCTGACTTTTTCAGTATTTGGACATTTATCATTTAAGTATGAAGCATCGTCTCCCAAAGAATTAAGTTCACAAAGCAATTCGATAAACAACTTTGCTTCGTCCCAAGTCACGCTCCTTATGTGTAAGCACGTCTTGGTATATATTCCCCCTGAGAGAGTATACCTACATAATATCACAAACGCACACATGACCCATTTGTCTGCCCAAGAAGTTACTGTAATATATTTGTGTAAACCTCTCTTCGGATGTAAAACTTTAAAATATGAATGTTTACCACCACCCCTCCCCTCACTACTACCCACAAAATAATAAAATATTATTAAAAATATAATATACAAAGGATAAAAAAAATATTAAAAACATAATACTCAAAACATTGTCCGAGAAAATTCGTGAAAAACATAAGTTTAAGACTTTTGAAACAAAATAATTTCATTGTTACATGGTGCTTTTCTTGACAAAATATTCAGGCTTGTAGTTTTAATTAAAAATACATCTGGTTTGATACAATATCCCAAAAAAGAAACTATGTTTTAACTGCTGCACCATTGCCTATGAGTATGGGGAAGTAACACGAATTTAGACATCGTACCCGATGGTGTTGGTCGTTATAGTGAGTGAGTGAGTAAGGTTTTACGCCGCTTTTAGCACCATTCCAGCAATATCACGGTGGGGGACACCAGAAATAGGCTTCACACATTGTAGCCATGTCGGGAATCGAACCCAGGTTTTCGGCGTGACGAGCGAACGCTTTAACCACTAGGCTACCCGACCGCCCCGTGGTCGTTATAGCTACCAGCAACTGGTGTATGTCTAGTCCAGATTATTTACCGAAGACTATAGCTGGGGTATTGTTGGCTGTAGCGTAAAATAACCTTCACGCAGCTCCAAACATTTCATTTTGTCGTGTCAATGAAGCAATGCCTGCGCTTTCCAACTGCCGACTAACACGTAGAAATTCTGACGCAGAGATGTCAGTTTACAGGGTCACGGATTTGATGACAATTCGTCAGTGGAAGCCATGTGACGTTGTGTCATCAAGGATACACATTGTGAGCAGCTTAGAAGTACGAAAGGCTTGCCCTCATAACCAGACGCGCAATACAACAGCCTCAAACAATAGCACGCTGTTTTCACTCTGTTGAAGGCGCATTCTCACGGCCTGGGTGCTCCTCTACAGTCGCGAGTCACCTGGAACATTTATTTATAGACACACGCCCGAGGGACAGAGCTCAGGTTCGCACTTTCCACAGCACCTCGCGGGCAGGCAAGTTTAGTCATTTGAAAATATCTCATTCGTATGTCAGTGTGGTGTGTGTTTGTATGTGTTTGTATGTACTACTTATGTATGTGCGTTACAGCTTGTCAATGTCTCATTCATGTTGTGATAGAGGATGTCAACATGTCAATCAACTTGGGGTTATTTCACGTTAGAATATTGGTTCGACTTTCATACCTCACATGTACTTATCAAAATGGACAATATGATCAATGTCAGAATATGATTATCTTTCAAATTTTGAAAACAATGAGAGAAGTTTGATCATGACTCAAGCATCATTAAACGCAGGGGAAAACTCATCTAAGTCAACCTTGACCTTTCAACAAAGGGAGAATTTCCGGCTTCAAAATGTCGGTTATTTGAAACACAGTAAACAGTAATCCTATAAACACGTAAACAGTTTACTAATCAGAATTATATGACAAAAAGTACATGATGCATAATTGTGTTTAAATACTCGTGCCCCCTCAATGTGTTTGTTGACCTGTGAAGATCCGGGGTAGAAAAGGGTTTTCCGCAACTCATCGTGAAAGGCGACAATGCTTGTCGTAAGAGGCGACTAACGGGATCGGGTGGTTAGGCACGCTGACTTGGTTGATGCATGTCATCGATCCCAATTGCGTGGATCGATGCTCATGATGTCAATCACTGGATTGTCTGGTCCAGACTATATTATGTACAGACCGCCGTCATGTAGCTTGAATATTGCTGAGTGCGGCGTTAAACAACCAACCAACCAACCAACCGATGTGTTTGTTGTAAAAAATAATGTCACACAACAGTATTCTGACTTAAATACACTTTGTTCTTAAGGCATTCGGTTGGTGGCCATGTAGGTGATGCGTTCGATCTTCACATGGAAGGTCCATGTTCGAATCCATACTTCATACGAGTGAATCCTATTTATTGCCCTCAGTGATATATTGTTACGTTACTTAAAGTAGCGAAAAATCTAGACTTGCACAACTTGAGGAAATGAATATTAGTTTAAATATTAATTCCTAGATTATATCAATAATAAAATCAAGTTGTCCCCATAAAACTTCGGCTTATCCAGACTTACTGATTATAAGGAAAGAATTATACTATGCATTCAAAGACTTATCGCTCAGTACAAAATTGGGGCAATGCTACATAAAACCTAACAGTTTCACGTCCTGGTTGCTGTAGTCAAGGAGGATATAGTAAGCAATCATCGTTTGATTCCCAAACTCACTTTGTTTATTTGCAAATGTATATATGACGGAACATCTTGCTCTAGGGTGAGTGAGTGAGTGAGTGAGTATGGTTTTACGCCGCTTTTAACAATATCCCCGCAATATCACGGCGGGGGACTCCAGAAATAGGCTTCACGCATTGTATCCATGTCGGGAATCGAACCCAGGTCTTCAGCGTGACGAGCGAACGCTTTAACCACTAGGCTACCCGACCGGCCCTTACACAGACATACTGCCTTGGGTACTAATCACGTCTAAACGTGACTAGAAATGACATTCACTGCTGAAGCATAGTAATTATCAGTTTATAAGTATGTCATAACGCTGCATCTATTGAACAAGTGGGCAAGCGCCAGGCTAGCAAGCGTCAGGTGCTGAGACGGTATCCCACTGTGGCCAGGTTGTCGTAAGAGGCGACTAACGGGATCGGATGGTCAGGCTCGCTGACTTGGTTAATGCAAGTCATTGTATCCCAACTGCATGCATCGATGATCATGTTGTCAATCACTAGTGCGGCGTTAAACAAAAAACGAGCAAGGAAACAAGCTATTCAACCAATGGACCAACAATGTTTACAGGTCTTTGCAGTGTTGTCACTACCCCTGTATTCAGTACATTCACCTTGTGCACTCAAATGAACCCACTCGTCCGATGGTAGCTGACCAGATGGTGGAAAAACAAACACGTTCATACTCCCGAAACACACGTGTCAAAACGAGTGGTGACACCCTGGGCAAGTGACGTAGTTCAAATGTGAGTCTGTTAACCCAGCGTGGGTACGGGTGGCCCAGTCGTCTAAGGCGCCGCGATTCGCTGTGCAGAGTTGCGTCCCTTGGGCACGCCAGAAACCTGTGATTGTGGGTTCGAATGCCGGTTCGACCCGATCGTGTTGCTGAGTTTGTCAGCACCATACACGTGCTTGTGGGTTCCACAAAGTGATAAACGTCCGAGACCTGCATCACTTTGGGCTTTCCACACACCTTATGAATTTATAAGCTGACGCGCCGTGATATCACTTGAACACTGATTAAAAAAGGGCGTTAGACCCAAGTCACTCACTCAATAACTCACTATAACTGTGCCAGTGACCTTAATGTTCAACACAACTATTACATAGCGAGGGGATAGCCTTGTGAAATCGATCGCTCGTCTCTCCCACACCGGTACAATGCACAGTTTGTGATTTAAACATATTTTATTCACAAGGAAAACGACTGGGTACAAGTTTTCACAAGTTAGGCAGCCCTCTCCCAAACAATTTACATGATTCACGTTATATAATATCATAATTGTACAAAAGAGGTGAGGTGAGGTAAAATTGGGTTTAACGTCGCGTCCAAGATTATTGCACTTATATAGCGATGTGCATGCACGCGTGTGTGTGGCTGCTTGTACTAGTCTGGAGTGATGCCGATTTATAGTGCTAGTTCATTGAGATACCATGCCGCAGTTTAACATGAAAACCCCACTCAGACACAGTATTCTGACTCCGAGCCAGTCCTTGTTTTAGCCCCTTAATGCCGAGCGCCAGACAGGGTAACAACAAGTACCATCTATTAACATCTTTTGGTATGACGCGGCTGGGGATCGAACCCCGGACCTTCCGCTCTCCGGGCTGACGCTCTACCACTAAACCACGGAGGCGGTCTTGTACGAAATTGATAATGCTGGAGTCGTGGGTAATTCCAGGTTAGAAGGTTGTTCCCCTGCATCCTATGCTTATCGTGCCATTCGACTTCGTGGATCGGATGGTAAAGCCCGATGGCCTTGGTTGATTGCGTGTCATCTTCCCCAGAAGGGAGACATCGTTGCTCGTAATATCAATCACTTGTCCGGGATACGACTATTCGGAGGCCACCGTCATGGAGCTGGATTACTCATTAGTCATGCGGCGTTTATATACGCATAAACTATACTCTGAAAAAATAGAAACACAAACGTGATTTTAGAAGTAGATTTTTTATATCATATAAATAATCAACAGATGGTAATCGATTGTTCAAAATTGGCACACATCATTGTCATTGACCCATGTTCCATATGGCACACATGGAACAGATTTCAAAGGTGAAGGTCATCTGTTCTCAATATCTTGCATGGCCACCATTAGAGTCCACAACTGACTGGCATCATCCCATGGAAGCAATCAGATCCCGAATTTTTCACCTGAGGAATGTTCATCAACCCTGCCTGCAGGTTCTGAGGATATGCTGATTTGCTCGCACTCTTTGATCCAGTGCGTCCCATAAATGCTCGATTTGGTTTAAATCTAGAGACCTGGAGGTCCATGTTGTGATTCCTGAAAAAGGCTGTTGTCAGTCTTGCCGTGTGAGGCCGGACGTTGTCTTGTTGGAAAATGTTTTTTCGCCTTTTTCATAATGGGAAGGACGTGTGACCGAAGAATATCATCCGTGTGACGTTGTGTCGTTAAATTTCCCAAAACGCGCACCAAGTCTGTCCCATCAGTGTAGGAGATAGCTCCCCATCATTACACTACCACCACCAAATCTGTCCACTTCCTGTACGCAGTTTCGTGCATAACGTTCCCCGCGACGCCTTAAACACGACCTCTACAATCCGCACGGTGAAGCCTAAAACGTGATTCGCAACTAGACCAAACTTGTCTCCATCGCAAATGTGGCCATAATCTGTGACCTTGACACCATTGACGTCGCAGCCGACGATGCAAGTCCGTCAAAATGACACCTCGAACTGGTCATCTGGCGCGAATACCTTCAGCGCGTAAACGGTTACTCACTGTCACGACTGATATCCAACACAATCCTGTATTGCCGTAGTTGTAGAGGTGGCCGTGGGGGTTCCTTTACGTTGGTGACGTAGCCGTATGAATCTGTCCTGTGTCTTGTAGTGATACATGGTTGACCGGAACTGGGAAAGTCACGCGTTGTCCTGTGTGTTTAATAACGGTTCCACAATCTTGGAAAAACCTGGCTACAGCTGGAAGATGATTCTCCTGTTATCCTCTTCCCGGAAGCGTTGTCGGGTTGGGCTTCCGTCGGTCGTGGCATTTTTCTTCTGTTCACTTGTAAGATTGTTATAACGTTTTTATAGCTCAACAAATGATGCTGAACGTGATGTCCTGTTGGCGTGTTTCGGCGCCAGGCTCTCAAGTGGCTGTGTGTTTGCAATCTTATCACCAAACTTCTGCTGGACCTTTTTTGTTCCATACAAATCAATCCCAGTCCATGAAGAAATGACCATTTTATATTTGGTACAACACTCTGTCAGATATATATGATTTTACTACTTTTGCTTCTTTTCTTTTTTTGGTGAGTATAGTTCCTTAAACGTGGAAGACCATACTCACTCCTGTGAAGCTCATCTTCCCGAGGCAAGGGAGTTAACTGACTTTAAAAGTCCAGTTTCCACCCTTGCCGAACTAGGTTGGAATTACTGGGCTCGATCGTAGCGCCACAAGTGGCTATTACCAGTTGTGTCCCTTCTAAGCCCTATGGACCAATCAGATTCAACCTCTCGTATCACTTGCGTTTGCTTCACACAAAATGGTGGCGCCCAGTCAGGACGATCTGATCGATAATCAAGATCTATATTGTGATAAAACGGGTCTTACATCGCGAAATGCATCAAATCACGTGAGTACCTTGATTAAAAACATGAAAAGATTTGGAAAATATCTGTTGACAACGAGTTGGCGGTGCACATGTTTTGCAAATCCTGCAATCGACCGAAATCTGCACGACAGTTTACGAACCGGAGTTCGATTTCGGTGCGCGATTTTGATTGGACTATGCATAGACTCGTTCGTCCAGCCAAAATGTAACTCCATAATACCAGCCTAGTTCGGCAAGGGTCGAACCTGGACTTTGTATACTCAGTTAACTCTCTTGCCCGGGGAAACTGGACTTAATAGTCAGTTAAATCTCTTACAACGGGAAGATGCTGAAGCTTGAATAGTATACATGCTAGCAGTCAAACCTATACCCTGTTTCAGCTATGGCATGTTGACACGTTGAAGGAAATGTTTGCTTACCAGATTACCACGCCTCGCCTCGTATCAATGAACAAATGGTCATTGATACATGCCAAAACAGATATAATCAGGCTATGACATCGCTAAAGAACGGTCAAAGCAATATCAGTAAAGCCCGCCTAGCGTACCCAATAGGCAAAACATATTGTTTGTGGGCGAAACCGAACCTTTGCTCGTTAATGTTCACTTGTTTTAATGTGGGATTGGGTGGTCAGGCTCGCTGACTTGGTTGATGCATGTCATCGAATCCCAATTGCGTGGATCGATGCTCATGATATCAATCACTGGATTATCTGGTCCAGACTCGATTATTTACAGATCGCCGTCATGTAGCCAGAATATTGCTCAGTGCGGCGTAAAACAACAAACAAACTTGTTTTGATGTAAACCCTTGTTCAGCCATTATATAAGTTTGTTTATTTGTTTGTTTGTTTAACGCCACACTCTGCTTTATACCAGCTATATGGCGGTGGTCTATAATTCATCAAGTCTAGGGCCAGACGTCAGGAGCTTCGTTCCAAGCGCTTGGGATGCCATGACAGAAGTCACCGAGCCTGACCATCATCCATCTAGTCGCCTCCTACGACAAGGATAGTTTGCTGGGTGGAGCTGGTGTGTGTGTGTGTTGGGGGGTTGGGGGGTTGGGGGTGCGGGGGGGGGGGGGGGGGGGGGGGTGGGGGGTATTCTTACCCGGAATCCCGACGGATTAGCCACTCCTGATAAAGAGAACATCCTGGTCGTGCCGGAAAAAACAGTCACACATTAAAAATAAAACATAAGAACCTAATTTTTCCACTTTTCCTCATTGCAGTGGAAACCAAACCAACTACTCGACAATCAACATTGTTTAATACACTCGATATTTTTTGTGCACTGCAGAATATCGATTTGAATGTCTGTATGTGTCATTCATGACATGTTTACTTGCGCACTCACGCGTATGGGGAGTTGCGAATGCATTCAACATTTGCCTTAAAAAACACACCAAAAATCAGGCAAGTCAATACGTATAATATGTATGCTGGGACATTATTGTTTTTCTATCAATGTTTTGATAACGTGAGCCATTTAGGTACATACATAGGGTAACTAATGCGCTCACAGATAATTTTTTTCTCGTCACAGTGGTCAGGAGGGGATTCCTACGAGCAAGAAATTATATATTACTGAATGTTGACATGTTTCACATTTCCCCGTGTATGGACACACACCTGTGTTACCACACTTCCCTTTTCATACCATAGACGCCCATGTCGCTGCAGAGATTGATCACATTGATTGATTTGTGTCAGGTGAGGTAACCTCAACATAATGATCTGGTTGCGTTTTAGCGACCGACTTGACGTATCCAGGTTCACCCTCGTATTTGTTGTTTGTTTGTTTGTTTGTTTGTTTAACGCCGCACTCAGCAACATTCCAGCTATATGACGGCGGTCGGTAAATAATAGGGTTTGGCCCAGAGAATCAAGTGATTGATATCATGAGCATCGATCTACGCAACTGGGATACGATGACATGCGTCAACCAGGACAGCGAGCCTGACCACCCGATCCCGTTAGTCGCCTCTTACGACAGGCATAGTCGCCTCTTTCGCCAGGCATAGTCGCCTCTTACGACAAGCATGGGTTGCTGAAGACCTGTTCTACCCCTGATCTTCACAGGTCTCGTATTCGCCGCAAATAAATGTGAAAAGAGTCCCATATTTAAGTCTAAAAGAACACCCTGAATAACAACTGCACCTTGCCTATCGGGAATTAACGTGATAGTGTGACATCGAGCCCGTTGGTCAATAGCTACCAACTACTGGTTTGTCTAGTCCAGACTGTTAACTGACTGAAGAGTTATAACTGGAATATTGTTGGATGTAGCGTAAAATAACATTCACTCAATCACTATAGCAGCAGCTCCGACCAAGAGCTGACACTTTGTTTGAGACATTTCATTTAGTCGCGCCAGATCCGATTATGGTGGGTTTGAATCCCTGATTCTCTCTGACTATTTTCCTTGGTTTGATAGCACCAATCCCGTACTCCCGTGCTTCACCAACGTGTAACACGACCAGGGCATGCGTCCTTTGGGCTTCATCAAGCTAACGGGGCGGTCGGGTAGCCTAGTGGTTAAAGCGTTCGTTCGTCACGCCGAAGACCTGGGTTCGATTCCCGACATGGGTACAATGTGTGAAGCCCGTTTCTGGTGTCCCCCGCCGAGATATTGCTCGAATATTGCTAAAAGCGGCGCAAAACCATACTCACTCACTCACTCATCAAGCTAACACGCTGTGATATAACTGAAATATTGTTCAAACTCAACTCACTCACTCACTGTGAACAGTCACTTTCCTGACTGATTCAGTGTGTCATCGAATCCCGACACCAGGAATCGATGTTCGCGCTTTCAACCACTGGTGTATTGGTTCCAGGTCTAACCATGTTCTTAAAGACGCTGTAATCAATCTTAACTGATCTGATTGTGTACCCCAAAACGGCAAACGTCCAGCTTCTATAAGGGTCGGTGGGGTAGCCGTGTGGTTCAAGTGTTGGCTTGTCACGCCGAAAACCCGAGTTAGATTCCCCACATGGGTACAATGTGTGAAGCCTATTTCTAAGGTCCCCTGCCGTGATATGGATGGAATATTGCTAATAGCGACGTAAAAGCATAACCACCACTCACTCACAAGCTTAAAAACACAAAACCCGTTTTCGACTTCGTGCTTGGCGGTATGGCCAAAACACAACATGATTTGCGAGGACGATGTGATGCAGGGAAAAGGTGTGGTGACACAGAGATGACTATTAGTTGTGGCCTTGCTTATGCGTAGTAGAGGTGCTTATCTAGAATACTACAGTGTGCATAAAGGTGAGTGAAGAAATTGACTGTGCAGTTTGTTTAAAGACCGTTGCCAAGGTTACAAGATATCTGTGATGTAATGTTCAATTGACAAGACATACACAAAGACCTTCCTTTAATCGATAATGATGTCATGCTTGTGGACGGAATTGTATTGTTGAGTGTTACAGTGGTGCATGCATGTTTTAGAACGAATATATAACACAGATGTAAGAGATCATTGCAGCTTATTAACAAAACAACTCTACGGACATTTCCGGGGAAATATGGAAGGCTTCATTCATCGTCTGTTTGTTGACAGTAGATATTTGCGTCTCAATGTCACCAAGTCGCTACATTTTTACGACATCGCCATGCAAATTCTGTTTACAAATATGATTGTGATTATTAAGTTATTATTAAAACAATCGATGGACAGAGCTTTTTTTTTTGTCGATGCTTGACGTGAAAATAAAGGAATTATCCAGCGTTTTCCCAAGTCGCCAATATCTGTTGTTTACCTAAGTACCCGTGATTACACAGTCGCAATCAGAAAATACCTCGCCTTTAAGAACCTGCGTTCGGTTTTTACTCGAACTTGATCCGGAGTGTAGAATTTGTGATGGTTAACACAGGAATGCGACAGTGTAGGTGCTATAGTAAATTTGCTCTGGGAATTATATTGTGGTTTCCATTCTGGAAACATCTCACGATCACACACTCCGGTTTTAAAGACGTTTTCCTCCGACCGTACAGCATATCTAATTCAGGCATACCTACTATCATTTATTCTACCATTACATTAATGAATACTTGATTCTGATTGGTTGGAAAGAGGTATCCTTTCTTCTATTGATACATCTTCTAAACGAAGCCTTTTTACACAAAATCTATGTGCATGTGGTGAGTAGTAGCAGGGAAATAGACTTTATAGTGCTTGCCGTAAAAGGCGACTATGCTTGTCGTTAGAGGCGACTAACGGGACCGGGTGGTCAGGCTCGCTGACTTGGTTGATGCATGTCATCGTATCCCAATTGCGTGGATCGATGCTCATGATGTCAGCCACTGGATTGTCTGGCGGCGTTAAACAACAAACAAACAAAATAACAGTATATGTGCTTGCATTAACGTTCTTTTTTTCCATTGTGCCCGAAACTTTATTCAGGTGGCATTTTCATTGAATACAAAATAACGTTCCATTATCTTTTGTTTCTTTTTAGACTAAACAATGGGACTTAAATGCGCATTCGCATTCCTAGCCTTTTCATGCCTGGTTGTCATTGGGTCCAGCAAAGAAACACCAACGTTTGAGGAGCTGGTGGAGCAATCAGAACGACGCTTGGTGAAGAGGGACATCCTGGATGATATCCGCAATGCCTTTAAATCAGCAGGAGACACTTTCAGCAATGTTATCGATAGAATCAAAGGCTTCAGCCAGGACGCCTATGAGAAATTCATCCAGTCGCTCCCGTCTCTGGACAAAGAGGACATGCAGAAGGCCCTGGACAAGATAAGGGGGTACTATGACACGTTGCAGGACAAGTCCTCGGCCACTGCCCAGAGGATGAAAATGACCATGGATGAACTGACCAAGGATATTTCTGCAAATGGTAGGTTGGACACTGCGTGTCGTAGCTATTGTGCATAATGTTTTATGCTATTTGTTTGTTGTTTAACGCCTCACTCAGCAGTATTCCTGCTATGTGACGGCGGTCTGTAAATACTCAAGACTGGACCAGACAATCCAGTGATCGTTTTTGTGAGAACGCTCCACGCCGTCGGGGTACAATGACACGCAATCAACTGAGCCTGGCCATTTGGTCTGCTCTGGCGACCTGCATAGGTTGCTGGGGACTTTTTCCCCACTCGTAATTCTCACGGAGAGCATCATCTGTTGGACATACAATATCACCTCTACTTTACTTTCCCCGCAGCACCTTGAAAAAAACAAACACTTCCGTTTGCCGAAATATCTGAATTCGTGTGGAGTTGCCTCCCCTAGCCTAACTCCTTTCCGACCTACTGTGGGTATTATGTAGTTGAATGAATGAATGAAATTGTTGAGAATTTATCATTGGATAACATTGGATTTGAAGAGATAGGCGTTGGGTTAATCGCTGACCCAGTCGGGATGCCGGAATAATAATGGAAATTATAAAATCCCCATGATAAAGGTCGATAAAGTGAGGATCGAGTGGTTTACTCAAAGTAACGAAGCTGATTCTGTCTCATAGTACCAGATCGGCGTTGGTCGTTGTTAATGCCACACCTGCCTTGCCTGACTTAAGTTCCATTGTGTACATGCTGCCATGATACAGAATGGATATTGACTCCGGAGTATACAGAAGTCAGTATATTAATTACAGAGACTACAAACTATTAATACCACGCCCTATTTTCCATGACACTGGGATTACAGATCAATATTTGGTTTCGAGGTTTCCTAGAATGTGTTATGAGAGCTAGGGTTTATCTACCCTTGACCTTAGGTACAGGAGCCCTTTAGTCTAAGGCGCAGCATTTCGCTGTGTCTTTTGTTCCCCAGGATCCTGTGATTTTGGGACCCGTTGGAGGACCGGGTAAGAACTGGTATTCAGCTTCCCATTGTTGGTTGGTTTGGTTCGTTTGTTGTTTAACGCCACAATCAGCAATATTCCAGCTATATGACGACGGTCTATAAATAATCGAGTCTGGACCAGACAATCCAGTGATTGACATCATGAGCATCGATCCACGCGATTGGGATCGATGACATGCATCAACCAAGTCAGCGAGTCTGGCCACCCGATCCCGTTAGTCGCCATCTACAACAGACAGAGTCGCCTTTTACGGCAAGCATGGATCGGAAAACTATCGACTTCCTCTATTACTGGTGAAAATCTTTGTTTGAAGTGAGCCGAGTGGGGATGCTTCGCGCGTCGTCTTCGCGCGGTGCTTTGTTACGCTTTCATGTAAAAACATGCGTTTTAGAATATATTTTAATAGCGCTTCTTGTAATGCTACTTCTGCAAATCTTCAGGCACATGTATCACAGTTTCATATCACATATCCTCACTCACTCACTAACCTACTCATTCATTTTCCCTCACGTTTTTTGAATGTATTGTCTCATTTCAGGGTCAACCAGAGTCTACCAGAGTTCCCTGATTGCATCCATCCTGTCTACAATCCTGGCTGTCTTCCTATCCCTGTGAGAAGGACGAGTGATCTGAGGTGCCGCAACTCATTGTACAGAGTTGCGTCCCTTTGTTGCAAGGATCCGCAGGGTTGGCGTCGCTTATTTCCCGACTTGCCGTCACCGTGTCCGTGTTCAAGGTTCTCTCCAAAGTAGTACACGTCAACGACCTGCGTTACTTTGGGCGGCTCTCCACATGAGGCGGACACCCCACTACATAAATGAAATATTAAGTCGCCGTTAAAATCATTTTTCTTAAATTCTCCCCCGCATCGACCTGTCTCCTAATGTTCTCAGTATTCGTGATCGGTTCATTCCATACAATGTGATACAAGCTTTATGATAATCAGAGCTTTTGTAAGAAATAGATGATGCAAAAGCTACTTCATCAACAGGGTGGTGTAGTATGTACATTTGTAAATATACGTACTAGGTATACTAGCAATAGAGTAATCACCTTGGCCCTTCCCCAAAGTGATGACAGCACTTCATCTGTGTAGTCCCCCCTCCTCTCCGTAGTCGAGTGCTGCCCTGGTTTTGTGGAACGAGTGCCTCATTAATGACCATTCCGTTTTAAATAATTGTATTTTCTAACTTCTGATAATAAACAGTAAAATTTTGGATCACCTGATCTTTTTTTCTTGTCTACAACACTTCTCGAGGGAAGACAGTTGCACGTGTAGTTTTATCCTACGTTACACACGAATGTCGATTGTGATTGGCTGAGGCCCAGTCTACAATTTTCATTAATCCCGCTAACATGTAAGGTGTATTTCTTACCCCGCTCGAATTGCCGAACCGTTGGCATTACATTTGCAACATACCAACCGCAATTTTGTATCTCGAATTAATTATTTAAGTCGCTATTCTCCGGATATTTACGAATGAAATGCATCTAGGGTGACACGGACCAAAGCATGCAAGCATAAGACATACCAGGAATGTGAGGTGAAATTGGGTTTAACGTCGCGTCCAAGATTATTGCACTTATATAGCGACGTGCATGCACGTGTGTGTGTGTGTGTGGCTGCTTGTACTAGTCCGGACTAATGTCGATTTATAGTGCTAGCGCACTGAGATACTGATTCCGAGCCGACCAGTCCTTGTTTTAGCCCCTTTATGCAGAGCGCCAGACAGGGTAACAACAAGTACCTTCTTTTGACGTCTTTTGGTATGACGTTGCTGGGGATGGAACCATGCACCTTCCGCTCTACGGGCGGACGCTCTACCACTAGACCACGGAGGCGGTCCCAGGAATGTAATTAGGTGGGCGGTCAGATACATTCGTTGTCCATCGGTCCCTCGGGTGACATAGGTTTATGTATCCTCTCTGTCAGTTTATGTTCCATTCGACCTCCGGACTCCGGGGAACATAACTAACACCCCTCGGCAACTAATATGGTGACGAATTGCGACAGATCCGCGTCTATAATGGAAGGGAGGTAACTCTAAACGTGTTTCTTTCCCGGTACCTCTCGCTTCCACTTTTCCCCCCTATCAACAGGGGAAATCAAAAACTATTTTGAAGTTGTATCTTATTCGACCTACAGACCGGAATTTTGTGCCTCAAGTCCTTAAACCTAAAATCTGGCATAAGCATACCTGTCACAAGTAAGGCACTGCCACAATATGAATACAGGCCTATGCATATTTGATAATGTTATGTTACGGATCAGTAAAACCAGGAAAACACAACATTACATTCAGCATGTGGTACTGTTACTCCTGGGTAAAATCGACTCAAACCCAACCTGAAGTTTTGCCCACCCTCAGTCACAATACCGCCCTGCCATGTTGCAACAGTCGGCGAGCGAGCCCAACCAGTCACCGTGTGCAACACAACTCTATAGCTAAACGCCTATAGCTAGACTGCTGTATTGTTGGTCATTTTCTATTCGCCTATTCACGGTCTATTCCTGTACCACGTTACTTCAGAAAGACACGTTCAACATATCGTGTCAACAAGTGTTGTTGGTAGGTGTTAATCATTTCTTTATTTTGTTAGTTCAATACATATCTGATAATCTATTCATTAAGGTATCAACTTTCTGATTGTGTGTTTGTGTGCTGCCTCTCCATGAAACGGTTGTTTCATTTGTACCTGCCCAACTCTGACAAACGTCCCCAGCCATTATTTTTAAAATGAAAGAACTGTGTCACAGTCAGACTGCCTCTTGACTTCCTTGTGACCCAAACTCGAGGAAACTATTTTCAATTCGGTACCCATTGTTAATTTAACAACTTTGTGTTTCTAAATATTTTAGAATGACATCTGCATAAAAACAAGAGGGTTACACTTCTCCATTCGACCCGTGAAGATCCGGGAAAGAATAGGTCTTCAGCAACCCATGCTTGTCGCTAGAGGCGACTAACGGGATTGGGTGGTCAGGCTCGCTGACTTGGTTGATGCATGTCATCGTATCCCATTTGCGTGTACTCAGAGCAAGTTTTATTCACAATGGATACTGTATCATTGTCTTTTTGAGAACCATCGATGTAATTCTTATATACTTATCCTGGTACAAAACTGTATACATTCTTCTGTGTGAATGGTGTATGGATGCGATATGTATGGCCTTGTCCTTTAAGTTTCATAAAACACCACAAGATCATTGTTTGAAATTGTTTTGCATAAAATAATTAGGTAATGTAGGTTCATGTTTTCCCTGGGCATGGATATCCACTCTGTAACAGGGGCTTGTGAATAAAAATGGATAAAAGAAAAGAAAAGAAAAAGAAAATTTTTGCTATCCTTGTCAACACAGGGGAAGTAACTCCATGATGTTTTGTAAATTATATAATTCTTTATTTTAAAAGATTTAGAAGGTCAATATTTATCACAGCTATTTTGTAGCTTTGTGGGTCAAATTGCTATGGACCATTAATTGAGACAATTTCTTTTTACAGTTAGGGAATGAAAAAACATCATGTAGCCTCAGGTTTTGCAACAACAATCTGATGGACATGCTTGATGTTATGAAATTATATAAGAAATTAAAATGTTCGGGTCGCCCTTTAAGATTTAAATAACCGGTCTCGTATAAACAAGCCATGAACACTCACTCACCCATCCGCTCGCCCGTGCTACACATTACATACCTTGGGTAGATGCTATTGTCATGGAGATTGTTTGTTGTTTAAGGCTACATTAGCAATATTCCAGCCACGTGACGGCGGTCTGTAAATAATATATTAAAATTTTACAAGTATGGTTTGTAACTCCCTGAATGTCTAGCAAGTTAAAGTGAATGTGACTTGGACACTGTTCTGTATGCGTGTATGCATGTTTATTTTGTGGGTCTTGCATTGAACACCATGTTCATAACATGTGCAGCCATGTACCGTGGCGTGATTTAAGAATTGACTTTGAGTGACTTCATTGGGGTAAGAACTTCATAGAGTGAGGGTCAAACTGTATGAACGCCGTAGCTTGCGGGTACTAAAGGTAACCAAGGTAGCACGTTATACATTCCGATCTGTTTCACAATGAAAACTTTGCAGTCAATAAAAACCTGATAGTATTATGTGCAAAGTTTGATAAGAACTAGATTGAATGTGAGGTGAAATGGGGCTTAACGTCGCGTTCAGTATTGTTATTGCGTGTGTGTATGCAGAAAGACAGAGTGTAATGCCGGTTTAAAAGTGCTAGCCACATAAGATACCATGCCGCAGTTTAACATGGACAACCTATTCCCACACAGTATACTCCGGGCCGTAGACCTTGTTTTAGCCCCTTAATACCGAGAGTCAGATAGGGTAACAACAGGTACCGTCTTTTTAACGTCTTTAAGTATGACGCGGCCAGGGATTGAACACCCGACCTTCCGCCCTCCGGACAGGTGCTCTATCCACTAGACCACGGAGACGGTCGCAGATTGAATAAGATAAAATAGCGGAAAGGCTTTCATCCCAGAAACACTCTCCCATGTTTCATTGTCAAGAGGCTTAATGTGTTCAAGAGGAAAAGAGCATATTGAAGAGTACACTCGTCTAAAAATGTTTAAACCTCCGAGGCTTTAAAACTAACAAGCCTTGGAGTTTTCAACTTTTTTATCGAGGTGTGTTATATCCACCAAAAAAAACACATTGTACCCGTGTAGGAATCGAAGCCGGGTCTTCGGCGTGACGAGCGAACGCTTTAACCACCGCCCCTTGTGTAAATGACAATCGTTATACCTTTCGCCAAGGCATCGCGGCCAACATTAAACTCAGATGCCTTATAAACTTAGCGGATGTCGCAACAATACGCAATTTTCTTAGAACCTGTTACACCAAATCAACTACGATCCGGTTTAGATGTTTGTGTACCTAATAAGGTTGAATTGGCATAAAGGTACTATCTAAATATAAAATACACTTTTTCTTTTAAAAATATTAAAGGAAAATTGAGAATTCCAAAATGTAAAAACTTCTTTAAAGAGAGCAGTGGGAAGGACAACGCCTGTGAGGAGTTTCAGGTCTCACGTCATGTGAAGGTTTAACAGACACACATAAAATTGTGTGGTTTCAGTTATGAAAGACAATAATATTTTTATCACCAAATTTAATATTTATCTCTTCTAGTACGAGGACATAGAAATATGGTCAATATTATTTGTACCACGGTCTACGTTCAGGTTATTTAAACACGTTAAAAATCATCGACATTTTCTAAGACAGTAACTTAGCTAAAAGCTTGTATCTAAACAAGTACTTCGTATGAAATATCAGTAGCATGGCAGTTAAAGGTCAGGGTCAAAGGTTACGGTCATTGTGAAAAGTTTTTGGACCATTGATTAAGCATGCTTTATCGCCGGACTCATTCCAGCTTTATGACAGCGAAGTGTATTTAATCGAGTCTAGACCAGACAATCCAGTGATTGCATCGATGTGCATGATCCACGCAATTGGGATACGATGACATGCAATCAGCGATGTCACCGAGCCTGATCACTCGATCCATTTGTCGCCCTTTACGACAAGAAAAGGTTGTTGATGACCTCTCTTCTTACCCGAATGTCCCATATGCTGTGGGATCATCAGAAGACGTTTTTTGGGTTGTTTTTTTAAAGTTCTAATGGGTATGGTCAGGGTCACTGTCAATGTCAAAGGTTAAGAAGGACATTTTTCATGCATCGACTAAATGATTTGGAATTAACTGATTTGCAATAATGATATTCAGAATATTTGACATTTAAATTCTTTCAATCTCTACAATATTTATGCAGAAATTATTTTTAAAATGTTTGCTGAAAAACCTAATGTTTAAAGTGTCTCTGTTGACATCATTGTCTGTTGACGGTAGAGTAGTTTTTAGTTCAGGTGAGCTTCAGTACCGTGATATTATTGTAACGATTACTTACTCAGAAAATATGAATCACTTAAAGATTTCACAGTTTTTCATGATGGTGGTTCATCATATTCAGCAACGCGTTATATACTCTTCACAAAAGAAAACGCAAAGCCAGATTTGTGTGAGGGAGGAAAATAATTTTATACAAGGAACCGTACAAGGTATTGGGCAGAAATGTTGTGGAGAGAATACTTGGTGATTGTAGTCATCTCAGTTATCGGTACATAGGAAACGTCCAAGGTGAAGGTCAGCTACCATCAATAACGCGTATGTCCCCCGTTGGAATCGATAGCGGCCTGAGATCTCTTGCACATGGAAGAGACGAGTATATGAATCTCATCCTGGGGATGGGTTGCCCACTCGGCCTGCAACGCAAAAGTCAACTGCTGCAACGTCTGGGGTTGTGGTTGAATTCGACCCACAGATGCACTATCGGGTTGTATGAGGTCGAGTGTTGTCCTGCTGGAAAACACCGTTGCCGTTGGCTGCAATTGGGAGGACGTGTGGTAGAAGATATCCTTGATATCCAGAGCCGTAAGATTGCTCTGGATATGGACCAAACCTGTCCTGCCATGATGAGAGATAGGCGCCCACATCATAACGCTACCCCCACCAAACCTGTCCACTTCCTGTACACAGTTTCCGGCGTAACCTACTCCCCTACGTCTGTAGACCCGTGCTCTTCAATCCCCTCGACGGAGGAGAAATCTTGATTCGTCGCTAAACCAGACATCTCCTCATCGCAGTTGAGGCCATACCCTGTGTTGACGACACGAATGCAGTCGTTGTTGACGATGTTGTCGACTCAATATGACGCGTCGAACAGGACGTCTTGCTCGTAGACCTGCAGCTCCTAAACGGTTTCGAACGGTCTGGTCGGAGATTCTGGTATGTCCGGATATTTGGGATGTGGTTGAGGTGGCTGTGGTCGCCCTTTCACGTAGGTGGTGCAGTCGGATATAGCGATCTTGGGCAAGGGGGGTTACTCTTGGTCGTCCCGACCTTGGTCGATCACATGTTTACCCATGCTGTTGGAACCGATCCCATAGCCTTGTGATGGTGCTGGGCGCTACATTGAAAACCCTGGCTACAGCTGATCGGGATTCCCCTGCTTGCAAGCGGCAAATGACGTGGTTTCTTTGCACTTCTGTTAATCTTGGCATGTTGTTGAACTGTCACTGTTCGATTGACGCAGATGCCAGGTAATAAAAAAAACACATGCACTTTAATACGTGCACGTGCAACTCCATGGACCTTTTGTTAATACACTGGGTGCGTTTTTTTCCGAATCGTACGTGTTTCCCGACTAATGGTTTGCATGTCCTTGTTGTGATAATTTTGATTCGGGAAATTTGTCACTGACACTATGACACATTAAACCTCTTCATTTTGCAGCTCTTGGTCAGCTAATTTTGCTTTTATGGCCAATAATATCCGTTTTGCGTTTCTTCTTTTGAAGAGTATATACACATCACGCACAATTAGCCGGATTCTTAAGGTAATTAGGTTTCGTTCTGACTTATCCAAATTATTAGGCTGCATAAGAAAATGTAGATGTGTTTCTCAAGGACCTTTCTTTCAAATTCGAGGAGGGCAGTACAACTTATATTTTTCATATATTGAAAACAAAAGCGATGCGCGTGAGACACACTTATATATTTCTTCCCAGCAATTCTCCTACTAGGATTTTATCCAAAAAAATAAATTGTCCCGGAAAGTGCTTGAAAAAATATATTTATGCTTCAGGCTTTTGAAAAATAGACGGTCTCTGCCATACGAAAAATACATTTCTGCCAGGTTCTTTTCTTTTAAAGGTATTCAGGCTCATATTTTAAATAAAACATTTCTGGTCCTGCAGCTGTAGCTAAAGAAATATCAATTACAAAATCCCAGGTCCGCCAAAGAATATGAAATGGTACGTCCCTTACTGACGAAAAGCTACTCTTTCAGAGGGCGGTCGGGTAGCCTGGAGGTTAAAGCGTTCGCTCGTCACGCCGAAGACCCGGCTCCGATTCCCGACTTGGGTACAATGTGTGAAGTCCATTTCTGGTGTCTCCCGCCGTGATATTGCTGAAATATTGCTAAAAGCGGCGTAAAATCATAGTCATTCACTCAGTCACTCACTCTTTCAGAAACGGAAGCATGCGTATCCAGTGTTACTTTGTTCTTCTGGCCACGTTGTCGTGTCTGACTGCCAGCGTTGCCGGGAGAAAGAATGAGGTACTTCGTGGTCGCTCTGATTCTAAGGTGGTCAAGCGAAGCGTCATCGATGACATTCATAACTTCCTCACTTCCGCTGGAGACAGCATCAAGACCTTCACGCAAGACAGGTACAAGGAGATCGCCGACAGCCTGCCCAGCATGGGACTGGACGACTTGAAGAATACCCTGAACCAGCTGAAGTCCATCTATCAGAAAATAGCTGATAAGTCTTCCGCAGAAGCTGAGCGAGTGCGGAAGCTGATTAGTGAGGTGGATGGAGATATCGCCGCTAATGGTTGGTATATTCATCACTGTGATGATTTACATTCTTGTTTGTTTGTTTGTTAACGCTGCACTCAGAATATTCCATTTTTTTACAGCAGCCTGTAAATAATCGGCTCTGGCCCAGATCCCGTGAAGATCCGGGGTAGAATAGGTCTTCAGCAACCCATGCTTGGTGACTATGCTTGTCGTAAGAGGCAAGTAACTTGATCGGGTGGGCAGGCTCGCTGACTTGGCGTGGATCGATGCTCATGAAGTCAATCCCTGCATTGTCTGGTCCAGACTCGATTATTTACAGACCGCCGTCATATAGCTGGAATATTGCTGAGTGCGGCGTAAACAACAAAGAAACAAACAAACCTCAATGTTGATGAAGTAGCTTCGACTGCGGAAAGGAGGGGGACTACACAGATGAAGTGCTGTCATCACCTTGAGGAGGGGTCCCTGGTGATTACTCTATTGCTAGTATACCTTGTACTCGATTATTTGCAGACTGCCGTCATATAGCTGGAATAATGCTGATTGCGGCGCTAAAAACAACCAACCAACAACGGTCTGTAAATAATCGAGTCGGGGCCATACAATCCTGTGATTGATATCATGAGCATCGATCCATGCAATTGGGATACAATGACATGTATGAACCAAGTCAGCGATCCTGACCACACGATCCCGTTATGCCCCTCTTACGACAAGCAAAACTCGAAATATGATAAATCATTACAATTTTACAGATTTCGTCAAATGACAAATTAGTGAAAAGAGGCCAGATAACTTTTAACTAACAACTAACTAACTAACTATCACACAGACCATTGTTCTTACCTTCCGTAGTGTACAAATAATTTAATAATCCCGTTAGGCGGTTCTTACGACAAGCATAGTCACCTTTTACGGCAAGCATGGGTTGCTGAAGACCTGTTCTACCCCGGATCTTCACGGGATCGCCGTCATTTTTGCTAGAATATTGCCGAGTGTGGCGTTAAACACCAATTTCACACGGGTAACGTTGAGTTATAACATTGACATAATAATCCATTGTTGATTGCAACGTAAAACACCAATTTTCGGTATTCGCAATTTGGGAAATATGATTATCTGATATGTAGAAGTTTAAACAATGACCTTTTAAAATTAGGCGATGTTTTGCAATGCAATTCCACAATGCAAACTTTCAAAATGTACTGCAGCAGTACATATCAAGTGATATACATGTATTGTTTATATAAGAACATGATTTGTTTTTGTGTACTTCAACAATACATCTTCATGTAGTCCCATAGCTTCTCATAGTCTCTGTCGGCAATAAATTAACTTCATGCTTGGAAAGAGCGCCGACTGAAATGTGGAACGGATGGTTACAAATTGTGACCTGTATCATTGTACCCACGGCTCGGTTTCTGTTCATGATATCAACCACCGTTTTGACCCACGCCACCCTGTTATATCTTCACTATTACTCACTGCGCTCATGACAACATTCACTCCCTCCGGTTGTGTTGGTTCCGAGTGAGATGGATTTGTTCGTTTATCTGCTGATGCTTAACCCGCACTCCAGGTTATTCCAGCTACAGTGATTATGGCCTGGTAGAAGTCAAGTCCGTCAGACAAACGAGTGGTGATATTATGAGTACGATGACACGCAATCAACCAAGTCACGGGACCTGACCGGCCAATCAATTGCATCGGCTCTTACGACAGCAAAGTTTCGTGGGGACAAATTCAAACCCAAATGGAGTTCTGAGATTCAGTGTGCACCTTGCAGTCATTGGAAGTCATACCCGTCAGTACAAAAAGTATTATTATTGCAATATTATTGTCGATATAGCGAAGACGAATCAGATATGTACTTTGCTTATGCTCACCCGTGTTGTTTCATTCTACAGGGTCCACTTCCTGGAGAGGTTCACTCATCAGCGCCGTCGTCCTTGTAGCGGTATCAGTCTACAGCGTCCACTTCCTGGAATAGCTCACTCATTAGCGCCGTCGTCCTTGTAGTGTTATCAGTCTACAGCGCCCACTTCCTGGAATCGCTCACTCATTAGCACCGTCGTCCTTGTAGCGTTATCAGTCTACAGCGCCCACTTCCTGGAATAGCTCACTCATTAGCACCGTCGTCATTGTAGTGTTATCAGTCTACAGCGTCCACTTCCTGGAGAGGTTCACTCATCGGCGCCGTCGTCCTTGTAGCGGTATCAGTCTACAGCGTCCACTTCCTGGAATAGCTCACTCATTAGCGCCGTCGTCCTTGTAGCGCTATCAGTCTACAGCGTCCACTTCCTGGAATAGCTCACTCATTAGCGCCGTCGTCCTTGTAGCGCTATCAGTCTACAGCGTCCACTTCCTGGAATAGCTCACTCATTAGCGCCGTCGTCCTTGTAGCGGTATCAGTCTACAGCGTCCACTTCCTTGAATAGCTCACTCATTAGCGCCGTCGTCCTTGTAGTGTTATCAGTCTACAGCGTCCACTTCCTGGAATAGCTCACTCATTAGCGCCGTCGTCCTTGTAGTGTTATCAGTCTACAGCGTCCACTTCCTGGAATCGCTCACTCATTAGCACCGTCGTCCTTGTAGCGTTATCATTCTACAGCGTCCACTTCCTGGAATAGCTCACTCATTAGCACCGTCGTCATTGTAGTGTTATCAGTCTACAGCGTCCACTTCCTGGAATAGCTCACTCGTTAGCACCGTCGTCCTTGTAGTGCTATCAGTCTACAGCGTCCACTTCGTGAATAGCTCACTCGTTAGCACCGTCGTCCTTGTAGTGCTATCAGTCTACAACATCCACTTCCTGGAATAGCTCACTCATTAGCGCCGTCGTCCTTGTAGTGTTATCAGTCTACAGCGTCCACTTCCTGGAATAGCTCACTCATTAGCGCCGTCGTCCTTGTAGCGCTATCAGTCTACAGCGTCCACTTCCTGGAATAGCTCACTCATTAGCGCCGTCGTCCTTGTAGCGCTATCAGTCTACAGCGCCCACTTCCTGGAATCGCTCACTCATTAGCGCCGTCGTCCTTGTAGCGCTATCAGTCTACAGCGTCCACTTCCTGGAATAGCTCACTCATTAGCGCCGTCGTCCTTGTAGCGCTATCAGTCTACAGCGCCCACTTCCTGGAATAGCTCACTCATTAGCACCGTCGTCCTTGTAGCGGTATCAGTCTACAGCGCCCACTTCCTGGAATAGCTCACTCATTAGCACCGTCGTCCTTGTAGCGCTATCAGTCTACAGCGCCCACTTCCTGGAATAGCTCACTCATTAGCGCCGTCGTCCTTGTAGTGTTATCAGTCTACAGCGCCCACTTCCTGGAATCGCTCACGCATTAGCACCGTCGTCCTTGTAGCGTTATCAGTCTACAGCGTCCATTTCCTGGAATCGCTCACTCATTAGCACCGTCGTCCTTGTAGCGGTATCAGTCTACAGCGTCCACTTCCTGGAATAGCTCACTCATTAGCGCCGTCGTCCTTGTAGCGCTATCAGTCTACAGCGCCCACTTCCTGGAATAGCTCACTCATTAGCACCGTCGTCCTTGTAGCGCTATCAGTCTACAGCGTCCACTTCCTGGAATAGCTCAGTCATTAGCGCCGTCGTCCTTGTAGCGCTATCAGTCTACAGCGCCCACTTCCTGGAATCGCTCACTCATTAGCACCGTCGTCCTTGTAGCGGTATCAGTCTACAGCGCCCACTTCCTGGAATAGCTCACTCATTAGCACCGTCGTCCTTGTAGTGTTATCAGTCTACAGCGTCCACTTCCTGGAATAGCTCACTCATTAGCGCCGTCGTCCTTGTAGTGTTATCAGTCTACAGCGCCCACTTCCTGGAATCGCTCACGCATTAGCACCGTCGTCCTTGTAGCGTTATCAGTCTACAGCGTCCACTTCCTGGAATAGCTCACTCATTAGCACCGTCGTCATTGTAGTGTTATCAGTCTACAGCGTCCACTTCCTGGAATAGCTCACTCGTTAGCACCGTCGTCCTTGTAGTGCTATCAGTCTACAGCGTCCACTTCCTGAATAGCTCACTCGTTAGCACCGTCGTCCTTGTAGTGCTATCAGTCTACAGCGCCCACTTCCTGGAATAGCTCTCATTAGCGCCGTCGTCCTTGTAGTGCTATCAGTCTACAGCGTCCACTTCCTGGAATAGCTCTCATTAGCGCCGTCGTCATTGTAGCGCTATCAGTCTACAGCGCCCACTTCCTGGAATCGCTCACTCATTAGCACCGTCGTCCTTGTAGCGGTATCAGTCTACAGCGCCCACTTCCTGGAATAGCTCACTCATTAGCACCGTCGTCCTTGTAGTGTTATCAGTCTACAGCGTCCACTTCCTGGAATAGCTCACTCATTAGCGCCGTCGTCCTTGTAGTGTTATCAGTCTACAGCGCCCACTTCCTGGAATCGCTCACGCATTAGCACCGTCGTCCTTGTAGCGTTATCAGTCTACAGCGTCCACTTCCTGGAATAGCTCACTCATTAGCACCGTCGTCATTGTAGTGTTATCAGTCTACAGCGTCCACTTCCTGGAATAGCTCACTCGTTAGCACCGTCGTCCTTGTAGTGCTATCAGTCTACAGCGTCCACTTCCTGAATAGCTCACTCGTTAGCACCGTCGTCCTTGTAGTGCTATCAGTCTACAGCGCCCACTTCCTGGAATAGCTCTCATTAGCGCCGTCGTCCTTGTAGTGCTATCAGTCTACAGCGTCCACTTCCTGGAATAGCTCTCATTAGCGCCGTCGTCATTGTAGCGCTATCAGTCTACACAAACAACAACATGAAACCCCTTGTTATATCAATGTACACGTATACAGAGTACAGCAACACGGTGTGTTAAGTTTCCCGATAACTTACTATCCCCACCATCAACCAGCTAGATGCATACAGGCCATGGGGTGAAAATTGACAGATCCACAGATTTGAACAGGTAAAACATGTACAGCAGGATAAACTTGAACTTACACAGAGGCTGAAAGAATTGGCAATACCTGCAATTCCAATGCGTATGACATCAATGCTACAATCTCATCAAGCGCACCCGACAACAATGAAAGGGAAAATGGGGAATTTCTACGTGAACCTTGTAAGGGTTTAAATTGAACAAATAGACTGTGATTGATGCCCCGAGTCAAATACAATTTGTGAAACTCTGGAAATATTAATCTGTCCTTTTCACGCACAAAGTGTCGTTTCATGTCATCGTTCCCGCCATGCATTAAACTTCGGAATGCATTCTTTTGGAATTAGAAAGTTTAATGTTATCATGTATCGTCTTAATTATGCAAAATTACAACCTGTCCTTAATAACTATCCTTGAAAATTGTTTTGATTTTTTTATTCAATGTAATTTGTTTGATAAAATGGTCATGTGTTGTAAAATTATTTGTACACTACGGAAGGTAAGAACAATGGTCTGTTTGATAGTTAGTTAGTTAGTTGTTAGTTAAAAGTTATCTGGCCTCTTTTCACTAATTAGACATTTGACGACATCTGTAAAATTGTAATCATATTTCGAGTTTTGCTTGTCGTAAGAGGCGCATAACGGGATCGTGTGGTCAGTCTCGCTGACTTGGTTCATACATGTCATCGTATCCCAATTGCGTAGATCGATGCTCATGGTGTCAATCACTGGATTGTCTGGTCCTGATTATGGCCATTAAAGGCTATTAATCAAAAAGGCTACAGATTATGCTACTGAGCTCTAGTTCGAAAACGGAAAACAGCATTTTCAATCACCCATGACTTCATGCTAATGATATGTCATCGCTTGTACAAAAATGAATTTGTAAAACTTATGATGAAAACACAGCGCACATGTCCCAAATCAGGCATCTTCCCGAGGCAAGAGAGTTAACTGACTATAAAAGTCCACTTTCCACCCTTGCCGAACTAGGCTGGTATTATGGACTTTTGAGTGGACTAACGAGTCTTTGCATAGTCCAATCAAAATCGTGCAACGAAATCCGGTTCGTAAACTGTCGTGCAGATTTCGGTCGATTGCAGGATTTGCAAAGCATGTGCACCGCCAACTCGTTGTCAACAGGTATTTTTAAAACATTTTTATGGTTTTAACCAAGGTGCTCGCGTGATTTGATGCATTTCGCGATGTAAGATCACAATATAGATCTTGATTAAGGATCGGTCGTCTTGTCTGGGCGCCACCGTTTTGTTTCAATGAAACAAATGCAAGTGATGGAATCTGATTGGTCCACAGGAGAGGCTTAGAAGGGACATAACTCGTAATAACCACTGGTGCGCTACGATCGAGCCGAGGAATTCCAGCCGTTCGGCAAGAGTGGAAACTGGACTTTTAATGTCAGTTAACTCTCTTGCCTAGGGAAGATGCAAATCAGGGGAATTAAGCAACGTCGGTCGCGGAGGGCCCATGGATGGATTCTGGTTCGGTCCCTTTTTTCAGAAAGTTCTAAATTTAGCTGAAACCATATTAACATCTATCTAAATATGTATGTAATTAATGATACATTTATGATTTTATACAAAATCAAATCAGCCACTTAAATCCAATGAAAGTGAATGTAATTTATTTTCATATTTATCAACATATACTACTCAAAGTTTGCTAAGGATCAAGTATTGATGATAAACCGCCAGGCTCACTGACTTGGTTGAAGCATGTCATCGATCCCAATTGTGTGGATCGATGCTCATGACATCAATCACTGGATTGTCTGGTCCAGACTAGATTTATTTACAGACCGCCGTCATATAGCTGGAATATTGCTGATTGCGGCGTAAAGCAGCAAACCAACCAACCAACCAATCCAACGAATAAAGAGAGAAATATCCCGGTACACAATGACTGGGTAACCCATCTAGGACTTCAGTTTCATGATGAACGGACAGAGACATGCAGTCAAGGGCATGATGTGTACAAGGTGCTTGATAACCTGTGCTTGGATGTATCGTGACAAAATTTCTGCATATCATTATCAGAAAGCACAACAATGTTCGCTTCTGAGGATTGCAACAACTGAATGCACTTCTGGACCCTCAGCTTCAAAGACGGCGTTTGGCGACCGAAGAATTTGGCAGATAGGCATGCTTGAAACTGAGTCAACACGTCACGTTGCAAACGTCGTCAGCGCCAAAGTGTGATCAGCAGGGCAAGGAATCGACACCAGACGTTTGGTTCAGCTACCCAGAGACATACAGGTTGTCGACAACGTTTTACCATACAGCGGATCGACAGACTTTTTCCTGATTGCAGCAAGACGTCATAACTTCGTGACTGCCACCACACTCAGACAAGACCTGCGAACGCCAGTGGCGTGTTCGTTTCTACTCAGACAGTGCGTAATCGTCTCCGTGAGGCTTGTCTCCGGTCACGGAGGGCGTGCATTCGCATCCCACTGACCTGACATGAGAGGTTGGCACGTTTGGATTGTCAATTGACACATAAGGACTTGGCTCCAGTACTTTTCACTGATGAATCGAGATACTGTCTATGCTTCACAGAGAATGGCGTCGACAAAAAAATCAGGATTCCAACGTAACCGAACATAACCTCTGTGGTAGGGGTTCAGTAATGCTTTGGGGTAGGATCAGTAGAGCTGAAAGAACCTAACGCCATGTCCTACAGCAGGGCACAGTGACAGGTGTGTGCGCTCCAGGGATGACATACTGTGAACGTGAGACTGTATGCTTGTGCACTCGGTCCGGACTCTATCCTCATGGACAATAACGCAGGACCACA